GGTTGCAGTGAGCCGAGACTGTGCCATTGCCCTCCAACCTGGTGACAGAGGAAGACTCCATATCAAAAAAAAAAAAAAAATTAGCCAGGTGCACACCTGTAGTACCAGCTACCCAGTCGGTCAAGGTTGCAGTGAACCATGATCACGTCGTGCACTCCAGGCTAGGTGACGGAGTGAGATGCTGTCCCAGTTAAAGGAAAAAAGAAAACGCAGGCCAGGTGCAGCAGCTCTCAGCACTTTGGGAGGCCAAGGCGGGTGGATTACCTAAGGGCAGGAGTTCGAGACCAGCCTGGCCAACCTGGTGAAACACCATCTCTCATAAAAACACACAAAAACTGATCAGTAGTGGGATTGTGCCTGTGAATAGCCACTGCACTCCAGCCTGGGCAACATAGTGAGACCCTGTCTCACAAAAAAAAAAAAAAAAAAAGACACAAAAAAATTAGCTGGGTATGGTGGTGGACACCTGTAATCCCAGCTACTTGGGAGGCAGAGGCAGGAGAATCACTTGAACTCGGGAGGCAGAGGTTTCCATGAGCTGAGATCATGCCGCTGCACTATATAGCCTGGGGAACAGAGCAAGACTCCATCTCAAAAAAAAAAAAAGAAAGAAATGCAATCAACGGCAGGGTTTGGGGTGACAGTTTCCTGGTCATCCCTCCCAGTTTCTTTCTTTTCTTTTCTTTTTTGGGATGGAGTTTCACTCCTGTTGCCCAGGCTGGAATGCAATGGTGCAATCCTGGCTCACCACAACTTCCAACTCCCAGGTTCAAGTGATTCTCTTACCTCAGCCTCCCAAGTAGCTGGGATCACAGGCATGCGCTACCACACCCAGCTAATTCTGCATTTTTCATAGAGACAGGGTTTCTCCATGTTGGTCACACTGTCTTGAACTCCTGACCTCAGGTGATCTGCTCGCCTCAGCCTCCCAAAGTGCTGGGATTACAGGCATGAGGCACTGTGCCCAGCCTTTCCCAGTTTCTTGACAGCGGTGCTTTTATAGGTAGAGATGGCTAAAGCCCACCCCCAAGAAAACAGCAAGCTGCGTACACCTGAGGCCCATGGGCGCAGGACGCTGTTTTCGACACTGGAGTATCCCAAGCACTTGAGTGTCTGACACCACCCATCACCCCCAACTCCATGGAATCACAGTTTAATTCTGAAGAGTGGAACCAAAAGTGACAGAGTGGGTGGCTGGAGAGAAGTACTTTAATGTACTGCATTAAAGTATACTGGAAGCTAAAGACCAAAAAGGAATCAGGCTTTCGATTTTGCTACCTAAAGTAAAAACTGAGAGCCTTATTTACTGCACAGATTGTAGCACGAGTGCCATACCTCCAGTTTCACAATTTCACCAGCAGCTTAAGCAAAACGGCCTGGACACTGAAGATGGCCTCTGGGTCACAGTATCACTAATTTCCTCTGTCTACAAACCACTTCCATTCTCTCTGTCCCCTATCTCCCCACTGCAACCTCGGCCTCCTGAGCTCAGGAAATCCTCCCACCTCAGCCTCCAGAGTAGCTGGGACCACAGGCGCACACCACCTGTGTTCCAGTTAATTTTTGTACTTTTTGGAGAGAGAGGGTTTAGCTATGTGGCCCATGCTGTTTTCAAGCTACTGGGCTCCAGCACTCTGTCCACCTTAGCCTCCCAAAGTGCTGGGACTGCAGGCATGAGCCACTGAGCCCAGGCCATCTGGTCTTATTAAATACTTCATGCTCTGCAAATGCAGACGTTTTCTCAGCTCTGATTATTTTTTCTAAAGTAATGACCCTCCACCTGTCTAGATGAATGCTTCTGGCAAAGGAAAAGATCACGGTGTGAAAGCTTACTACAACAGGACATAAAGCCCCGTCCAACCCCTACCTAACCCATCGGACCTGGGGTGGCAGCTGCAGGTGTCGGGCGCTCAGGTCTGTGCATTAGTCATCCCTAAGGTCCGTTAGCACACGGGTTAGGAGGAGCACACGTTATGGAATCAGAAAGCCCAGGACTGAACCCAGCCCTGCTTTCAGTCAAGGCCTTGTCACTCACTATCACTCCCTTGAGCTAAGGCCTCACAAAACCCTAGTCTGTCATCTGTGAAACTGGAGATAGTAAGTTCTGCCCTGAATACTGCGGTGAGGAATAAATGAGGTAATGTCTGTGCAACACCTAGCACAGATTCCTGCAGATAAGCACTCAATGGATGTTAACTACCCTCCACTATCTAGTCATCAGAAAAGCACAAGGATATGGTGTCTTTAATTCCTTCCGTTTCTGGAAAAAAAAAAAAGTGTGTGAATTTTTTTTCCCCCTAAAGGTATCAGCGAAGTGAAACTTAGGAAGGAAAACCCAATTCAAGCCCAGTTCAGGGACCAACTCACTCACAACTTAAAGCAACTCGTGGTACCTCCATTTCCTTACTGAACTTTGACGACCTCAGAGACAAATAAGAATCAATGCGATAACAGGTGATGAAAAAGCTTTCACTGCCTCAAAGAAAAAGCAAACAGTAGTAAATCCAGAGCATAATTATTATTAAAATGCCAGGCTCCATAATATGGAACATAAGCCAATGATGGCTCTTACTTTTTCTAGAACATTAGGTTTGATGGCCTTTTCGTCTGTTCACACGGGAGCTGCTATGAGCTGGAGGAGGCAAATGGCTGCTCCTCGCAGATCCTAGTTCAGAGGCACAGCCCAGCAAAGCTAGCACTCTGCCAATGGTCAGGCTTGGACCATCCTGGGCCACTTCTCAGATGCCAGTGCCTGGAGAAATTAGGCAATTCATCTGGTTCCACTTGGGCACGTGAAACCAACAACCACCAAAATCCTCTCCTGCAGGACTACTCAACAGATGCAGGAAACGCTGAGATTTGACCCTCTGCACTCCTGTACTGAATGATGTACTACTCTTCAGGGCACGTGCTGGCCTTCCTTTAAAGTGCAACACACCACCCAGGAGGAAGAGCTCCATTTTTCCTTATTTCTACTTCTAGGTCCAAGATGTGAGTTTCACTTGTAATCTACCATTGAAATATCTGGAGAGCTGGAAGTCGGAGTGGGAGGAGGAAGTGGGGGAGCATACAACCAAAACTGCATCCAATTTCATCATCCCCAGGTCTCTTGAACCCAAGGAAGAGAGAAAAATTCACGTGATGTTTATTGGACATCTGCTATGTGCCAAGGACTGTGCTAATTCTTCACATATATTATTTCCAAAGCTCATTTTCTCTTCCACACCTAGTAACGCCATGGAATAAACCACCAGGGAACGGGATCATCCCAGATGCTGGGGGAGGCGGGGGAAGGGTTGGGGGGAAGAATCACACCATGTAGTCAAGTTTAAGAGGTTTCAAATGTTAGTGCTGTGAACACAAAAAAACAGCCCTGACTGAGGAACCAGGCCCAAGTCCTGAAACACCCTTTACAGGAAGAACACCCAAAGCTGTCTTTCCTATAATTATGAAATTAACTCAGGCTATTGAAGACACTATAAAAAAAGATGTAAAACTTTTAAAATCTGGAGCACAAGAAAAACTCACCATAGGACTCGAAAAATCTGGGGCCGGATTTCTGACCTGAGAAGTACATCTGGCACTCAAATACGGAATGCCAGCATCCCCTGAGAGGCCCTGCAGAGATGCGTTGTGAAGAAGACAACCACAACGAACTGGCCTGTGTGTGGCCAGGTAACCAGAAGGCGAAGCTTTCCTGCAGGCGGCAGCGACTGTACAAAGATGTCTTTCTCAGCTTAAAAGCTAGCTGATCCTCATCCCTGGGGTACCACGACTGTCTATGGAGCAAAGTGTCAGATGGGACCAAATACACATCGGTAGCCTGATACTCAAATGTCATCCTCTCCATGCACATCCCACTAAAAAGAAGCTTAGGGGGAAAAAAAACAAAACACTGTCCACCTGTCCACAGCTGACCTTCATTCCTCTACGTCAACCATTTCACACAAATCACAGTTAACATCTGCATTAAACACCATTAAAAGAACAAAAAAGTGGTTTGAACTCTTGGACATACTTTCTCTGCATTCAGAGTCAGGAAAATCAGCCAAGACAGGGGGCTGGTCCCCCGCCCCTTAACGGGATGCGACACAGAGGCCTTGCCTGAGGGGCCTGCCAGACCCCTTCTTCCCAGCAAACCACTGAGCAAGTGGGGTGGCGGCGGCTCACCAGCTCCCCACGCCAGGCGGAGGCCCTGGCTGCGGCTGGCTTTCCGCTAGGCCAGGCAAGCCCGGGTCCGTGTAGGGCTCCTCAAGGTGGTTTCTAAACTGGGAATTTCCAATGTGCCTCGGAGACCTCCAAGAGCGCGGTCCCCTCGGAAGGCAGCTAAGGAGAGGGGCGTCGCTGGGACCGGAGGCGCAGGCGGCTGCCATCGCCCGGGCGCGCCCACCGTCCCCAGAAATGGAAAGGCGCGCCGGGATCCCCTGGGCCACCTACCTGCCAGGGTCGCAGGAGCCCACCCTCGGCGCACGCCAGCGTCAGGCCCGGGCAGCCGGACCGGTGGCCCCGGGGCCGGGCCGCGGAGGCAGGACCCGGCGGAGCCCCGACTCCGAGCCTGCGGACCCGGGTCAACACAGAGACCTCCCCCGCCCCAAAAAGCCGCCCCAGCGCCGGGCTAAGCCGCCTCCCTCCGCCCCCCGCCCGAAGCGGACAGCCTCCCCGCGCCCGCCGCCGCGGAACTCGGGACCGCCGGCGCACCTGGCCGCGCATCCTCCGCCGGGAGGCGACCACACGGGGACGCGGGGCGGGGGCTTCCTCGCGGCCCGCCCGCCGGGCGCAGGGCTGGACGCGCCGCCGGAAGGAGGCGCCCAAGCCGCGGCGGGTCCCGGCCTCGGCGCTGCCCGGGCGGGAGGCTCGGCGCGCGTCTGCTCCTGGGATACCCGCTCCAGAGCCGCCCGCAGGGACCGGCCCGGGGTCGAGACCCCGAGCTCGAGCGCGAGCGAGATGCGGCCACCCCGGGGCGGCTGGCGCGGGCCGGAGCCCCGAAGCCCCGTCCGTACCTCTGCCTCATGCTGCGGCGTCCTCGGCGCCGGCGTCCCAGTGGCCGGCCCGGGCCGCCCAGTCCCACAGCCCCGGCGTCCCGCGCGGTCAGCAGCAGCGGGAGCAGCGGCGCAGCCGCCGGGGGATGGGCGGGCACATGGAAGGGCGGGGGCTGCGGCCCTCGGGCCGGACCACAGGACCCCAGCCTCGGGGGCGAGAGAGCTCAGTGCGCCCTGGAACTGGCATGCGGCTTCCGTCCTCAGGGACCCTATTGCTACCTGGATGCTCAGTCTTCCCAGAATCTTACGGGATATGTGCAAAAGGCAAAGAAGTAAGCTGTCGCCACGCCCTTCGTCCTCTCCGTCCCCCCGCAAGTCCATATGGTACATTCCTCAAAGCCCAACGGGAGACACGAAAGAGGTGATTGGTTGGGAATCTTGGAAGGGGCGAGAAGCCACACGAAGTGGCCAATGGAGAAACCTGGTGGGCATATCAAAGCCTGCCAGCAGGGAGAAGGGAGGATGTTTTTAAAGGGGACTTGGCCTGGCGCGGTGGCTCTCTCCGGTAATTCCGCACTTTGCTGGGCAGAGGCGAGCGGATCACTTGAGGTGAGGAGTTCAAAACCAGCCTGGCCAACATGGTGAAACCCCCACTGAAAATACAAAAATTAGCAGGGCGTGGTTGCGCGGGCCTGTAGTCCCAGCTCCTCGGGTGGCTGAGGCAGGAGAATCACTTGAACCCGGGAGGTTGCAGTGAGCTGAGATTGCACCACCGCACTCCAGCCTGGGCGACAAAGACTCCGTCTCAAAAAAAAAAAAACTAGGATTTTCATTCTGACACTATGCAGATGGGAAGCAAAGAGATTAGAGGGAAGTTCAGATTTTTGGAGGAGAGAGCTTAAAGAAAATGTAGAGCGAATTGAACCAAGTATATCTGTATGACCTTGAGCAGATAAGTCCAGCCCTCAGCCTGAGTTTCATCATCTAGTCCAATGAGGATACTGTATTGTACTTGGTGCCTGGCGGCTTTCACACACTTGTGTGATCCTGTCATCCTTTGCATGGGAATAGCAATACCTGCAGATATTCTTCAATTTTAGGCATGATCCACCATCTTAAAGAACTTTAGTTGAAAGTGGGTAGACTTTCTGACACTGACTTTCAGCGACATTATCAACCCCACCTTTGGTAAAGGCAAATCCAGTCTTCTTTCTGGATCCTTCCTCTCTTCGAGAAGAATATTCTTCTTACGTGTGGAGCCCCCACCTCCAAGTAGTTCATGATTTCTACTCCTCCAACAGGCATCCCCTCTATTCCTTCTCCATTCCGCCTCATAATCAGACAAAGCTTCGCTTAATAATTCATTTGCGCAGTGACCGTCCACAGTTCCTCCCTTGAGCAACAAATCCCACTGCCCACCCCTCCCTAGAACTGTGAAAGTGCTTGTTCCTGACTCAGTCTGTGACACATCATTCAACCACACATGGCCAATTGTGCTTTTATCCACACTGCAAGCCAAATTTCAGACTTTCTCACCATTCCTTGGTGCCTGCTCTGTTTTAGAGTCTTACACCGGCCTGGTAGGCTTACATTTTGGCTACTAAGCTTCAGCTCACATTCTTTATTACAGAACTTTTCAACCTCCCAACAGCTGGTCACCTCACTCCCACTCAACCAGCTTCCAACTTGTGTAAGAGTGTCTTTTAATAGCTCCAGATAACTCATCTTCCAACTATAATCCAAAGAGTTCCAGAAAGTCCATTCTTCCATGAAGCCTTCCAGATTGATTGCCAGAAGCTGCTAGCTTACAGAGCTCCCGTTTCTACTCTGTGCCCTGCCATAACCTAACTGCCTGTGCTCTCTGCCCCAATACACATTTCTTATCGACATATTTCTCTGCCTTCCATCCTTATTACCATGAGTACCATTTTGCCCTTATGAGGAAAACACGAGGGCTTAGAGAAACTGATCTGCCGAAGTTCACACAGAGGTCTGACATCTAGTGTCCATAACTCCACAATGCAGTACTGTCTTGAGTTTCTTAAGAATATATTGTATGCCAGATGAAAGATAATCTCATACATTTATTTATTTATTTTTAATTGCTTTCTCCTTCTTTCTTTCTTTCTTTCTTTCTTTCTTTCTTTCTTTCTTTCTTTCTTTTTCTTTCTTTCTTTCTTTCTTTCTTTCTTTCTTTCTTTTTCTTTCTTTCTTTCTTTCTTTCTTTCTTTCTTTCTTTTTCTTTCTTGAGACAGAGTCTCACTCTGTCACCCAGGCTGGAGTACAGTGATGCAATCTTGACTCACTGCAACCTCCACCTCCTGAGTTCAAGCAATTCTGGTGCCTCAGCCTCGCAAGTAGTTGGGATTGCAGGCTTCAGGCATGTGCCACCACGCCCGGCTAATTTTTGTATTTTTAGTAGAGGCAGAGTTTCACTATGTTGACCAGGCTGGTCTCGAACTCCTGACCTCAAGTGAGCAACCACGCCTGGCCTCATACGTTTATGTTACGTTTACATTTATTTCTATACCTATAATATCATGTCAGTCTCAAAACAGTCATGTGAGGAGAGCTGGTAGACATTTATTCACAGATGAGGAAGGAAACTACAGCTCAGAGGGCATGACTGTTTGGCCAAGGTAGCAAGGCTGGTAAGCAACTGAGCCTGGCTTTCCACACTGCATTCTTTCCACTGGAATTCCTGCTGGGAGTGAACACAACCTTTTCACATGTAACAACCAGAGAAGGAAGAGACAAATACAAAATAGCAAAACCTATGCCCTGGGGTTTAGGGAGTGTGGTACAAGTAGTGCTTACCGAGGGAGAAAACAAGTCAAAGACTTCTGTGCAGGGTGAGAATCACTGTGGACTTCTTTATACTGGTCTGCTGTTTATATTCTGCCACGAGATTGTGTCTTGGACACATCTGACAAATTCAATAGCAAAAGGCCACAAAACTGCCCCCTACCGCTGGAGTGCTGGGAGCTAGAATTAGCCCCCTGTCAACGAACGGACTTCTGTGTGCAAAGCTGCTGCTGACCAATTTGGAAAAGTTCTCCACTGGCTGTTCAGCAAACTAACCTGCTCCTCTGGCAGTTTTAACACTGCCCTGAAAATACAGGCTGGGCTAATTATTTCTTCTTTTTAAACTGTTGACATCCTCACAGGGTAGGAGAGCCTAGCAAAATTATGTGGGAGCAGCAAACTTTTAATATTGATTAAGCAGCCTGAACAAGGTCATTGCGAAGCCAATGCTTCTGAGTTGTTCTTTGCCAGGTCCAGCCATAGTCAATCAAGTTCATTCTCACTCCCATAGTACTCCGTCTTTTCTCATCCCCAGAGAGTTCTAAACTGTCTCTGCTTATCTGAGTGCTTTATTTATGCATTCAAACATTTATTGGGCAACCACTACGAGCAAAGAACTGGCAGGTTGTGAGATTATCCTGATGAATCACACATGAAGTGTGTACTTAGCACATGGGATGATTAAATATCAGACCCCCTTCAGTATGGAAGGAATCTGCCTGGGCGTCTCGGAGAATGCAAATGGATCCCATCCACTCCTAAATGTAGACACTCATGTTGGAATGTCCACCCGCCCACACCCCAATAGAAGGAGCACTAGCTCGAGAAATGGCCCTGGGTTGGGGACATGGGCAGTGTCCTGAGGAGGAGGAGAGTGTCAGAAATAACTGGACACATAGCAAACAATCGGGAGAATCACCTAATTCAATCCACAGTGGAGCTGTTAGAAGATTTGTGGAATATGCTTATTTTCAATTTTAAAAATATTTTCTGATTTCAAAAGTAATACATGTTCATTGTAAAATAATTTTTTAAATAGAGAAAAGTACAAAAAAATAGAAATACCCAGCCAGGCGCTGCGGCTCATGCCTATAATCCCAGCACTTTGGGAGGTTGAGGCAGGTGGATCAGCTGAGGCTGGGAGTTCGAGACTAGCCTGACCAACATGGAGAAACTGTCTCTACTAAAAATGCAAAATTAGCTGGGTGTGGTGGAGCATGCCTGTAATCCCAGCTACTCGGAAGGTTGAGGCAGGAGAATCCCTTGAACCCAAAAGATGGAGGTTGCAGTGAGCCGAGATCACACCATTGCACTCCAGCCTGGGCAAGAAGAGCAATACTCTGTCTCAAAAATAAAAAATAAAAATACCCATTACCTTCACCAGCATATCACTGTTACCATTTTGATGCATGTGTCTGTGCCGTGTATGTGCAATGCTCCTGCACGCAGGTGGCTCACGCCTCTGTGTCATATATCTTCTTTCTCCCTAGTATCTTTTTAACAAAATTTCATCAAACTGCTTTGCAATCTACTTTTCTACTTAATACACATTATACATTGCTAAAATATGATTTTTTTCTTTTTCTTTTTTTTTTTTTTTTT